CATAAAAACAATAATGTTTTAATATATAGAAATAGAAATAATAATATAGAAATAATTTTATAAGCAATATTATTGTTTATAAAATATTTTCTATAATTGCCAAACTATAATTTTGTTTGTGATATCTTAAAGTACGATTAGTAGATAAGTATATTAAAATATATCCTGGGAAGTATACTTAATTTCTTGTATATAGTTAAATAATTTGGTCTTGCTTTATACAGATTAAATTAGTATAAAAGTTATTAGAAAATATAAATTGCAAACTTTCTTTTTGTTAAATAGATCTTTTCTAAAACTTTATCATATAATTATCTTTATCTCTGAGAAACCTTATTTTAGTAAGAAATAATCAACTTTATACAAACCATCAACTTTGTATTTATAATGCACAGATAAAAAGTGGTCCGCTAAGATTTGAAATACTCTGTATTTCCGTTTCACTGAAAATTTATTGTTGTACGAAAAATTATTGCCGTTTTGGTTTTGCATGTACTCCGCAAATTTTCTATAAATGAAGCAGGAAATCTTTGTTATTAAATTTAAATTTTTCAATCCTTAGATTCCCAACGGATAGGAAGGAAATGTTTGTCTTAATCATTAGTTATTACTTAAATTCGATTATATATAATATTTGCAATTGGATCTCTTATTTGTTTTTATAACTATTTACATATAACGCAAATATTTTATCTATCTACGATACTAGATTATTTTTAATACAGTTTATTTTAATAAAATAGTAATATATTTTTCTTTCTTTTTAAATTATTAAAATTAACTTATTGCAAAGAATAGTGAAGACCCATCGTGGATTCTTAATTGAATTAATTCCTTCCTAATTAAATTAAAGAACTGTATAAAGATTACGGAGAAAAAAGTTTGCTGAAGCAATATATTTTACGATAATGGATTTCATCAGTTAAAGAGTAAAAATATTTATTAAAAATACTGTTTTTTTGCTAGATAATTCTGGTAGATCTAAAAATTAATTTTACTAATTAATGCTTTTGTTGCAATATCAACAATAGTAATGAATTGTTTTGATTCAACAGCAAATTCTTTTCCGCACAGAAACTGAGAATTTAAGAATCAATTCCGGCGCAAATCACTATATCTTATTGTGTCAATTTGTGAAACAAATCGTTAATGTTGTAAATAAATTAAAAATTCGATCGTTTCTGCACAAAGTGCGTAGAGCGAATATGTCTATGAACGCACAAAAGTGAGTAGATAATATGTTCTCATTATTTCATCGCAAAACTTTAAGATAATTTTGGAAGTAATTCGGGATTGCTTCTAAAAAAAAGAATGAAAAACGCATACCTTCGAATATCATCTACTTCAAACAAATTACAAAATACGTATATCATGCTATTTGCGCTATTTTTTAAAAATCAACATGTCCTCTATGAGCGGAGGGAGTAAATCTTGTCTAAATCGATAAAGATAAAACATAATTTTAAATAAAGGTGACAGGTGTTTTCTAACGGCAGCTCCTCACACACATAG